AAACCTTACCTTACCGCTATTTTTTGATCTGTCTCGTTGGATTTCTGTGGGTTTGCGTATTGTCAAATTATGGCATTAGAGGGTATCCTTTTTTTCTTCGGATCGTTCATTATACCTCCGTTGTTGTAATAGGGAAGAATTTGTGGCGATTTTGAGGAGACCTTATTGGGTGAGAACTGCTTAGAATTAGATATTGGCACTTTAATTTTTGATTTTGCATATTTAACCTTTGATTTTAATTTTGTGTATTTATAACCACACCATTCAATGTGTTGCGCAGGTTTTGTGCCTATTGTTCTGTCTTAATCCAGAAGCGCTTATAATCTATCTTGAAATCACTACTTTCAAACCAAAGAACCTTGATTTAGTATTTGATTACCCATAATCTGAAAATGATTTTTGGAACAAATCTCGAAATTTAACAAACCATAGACAGGACTTTGACCGGTCACGCTTCCTGAAGGTGAATTGCTGTCACTGTCAGTTTTTATATTTCCATTCTGTCCCCACCGTCGTCCAGCGTCTTTCTTCAGTCGCTTTTCTTTCGCACGTCTATTTTGAAACCAGACCTATAAAAAAGTAATTAATTCTTTGTTCAAGAGATAATATTCGAGGATTTTCAGCTACATAGAAACTGCGCAAAGGCTCTCAGGCCATACTCATACGTCGCGCGATTTCACGCGCCACGCAATTTGGCGATTTGCTAGATGTCTTCGACTTCAAATACAAAATATTAACAGCTTTTGTAATCTGATAAAGTGCCTTATATTCTATGTATTCAAAATTAGTTTCCGATGACTTATAGTGAATTTGTGATTTCCTGCATTCTTCCGAAAGCTCAGTCATGAAATTCACTCTTTCGAAATCTCGCAAGCGTTTGGCCTGTAATGCTGGGGTTCCCGCGGCCACTGCGGATTATCAGGCTACGTTACCATAGTGAACAAGCAAAAAGTCGGTAATCAACTCCGCCTATACATGCTTATCAGGACCACAGACTAAA